ATGTGTATGTGTATGTGTAGTTGGAAGGGTGAAAGGGTTTGAATTACCTGTATATGCAAGGGCCTATGGCTATGAATCTACTCTACTACCTGTATACATACCTCTGTCTATGTACATACGTACCTACTCACCATACACACATATATCACCACCACTATATCCCACCGTCTGCCTGTCTCCCCTCCCCCTCCGACCCCCCAAACATCTCCCCAACACTCTCCAACCCAACATTCCCCCCACTCAAAACAACCCCAACATCCCACCCCCTCTTCCCACTAACCCTACACTGCTCCTCCACCCTCCTCCGAAACCCCTCATCAAACAAACAAACCGCCAACCCAACCACAGCAGACGGCTCAACAACAATCTTCACCCTCTCAAACACAAGCCTCATCGCCTCCCGAATCTGCCGCTCGCTCACAGCATACACCCCCTCCACCTTCCCCTTATCCGAAATAACCTCCCACGGCACCTCCCCGACCGGCGTCCGCAACCCATCCGCAACCGTCAGCGTCTTCACGCTCGTTATTCGCGATCCCCGCTCGAGTCCGCGCCGGCAGTCGTCGCCGCCCTGGAAAGACGGCTCCGCCCCAAACACCAAGGGCCGTGCCCCGCCGCGGCAGCCCGAGAAATACGTCGCCACCCCGGCATTTAAACCCCCCCCGCCTATCGGCGTTATCACCGCGTCCAGCGTCCCCGGCTCCGCATCATTCGCAGCATTCGCATCCGCACTGCCATCCCCATCGGCCCAGTGCACGCTAACCCTCCCATCCCGCCCCACGAGCTCCCGCACCTGCCTCGCCATCTCCACCGCTACCGTCCCCTGGCCCAAAACGACATCGGGGTGGTTGTAGGGCGGGATGAGAAAAGCGCCGGTCTCGCGGACTATGGAGGCGACGACGGCTTCACGCTCTTGGCTTGTGGGGCCTGAGAAGACGATGCGGGCGCCGTGGGCGCGGGTGCCGGCTATTTTGGACCGGGTGGAGATCGAGGGCATGACGATGTGGGCGGGGATGTGGAGGGTGGAGGCGGCGAGGGAGAGGGCTTGGGCGTGATTTCCTGGTGAGGGGGGTTATTTATTTATTTATTTATTTTTTGGGGTGTATATATATATATATCTTTGTGACGATTTGATATGGAAGTACGTGTCTTGCAACCGATTAACTCAACTAGTTGACGGGGAGGGGCATAACTACCAGAACTATGCGTAACAACGCCCCTCCTCCTCACCTCCTCCGCCCCCACCACTTGCAGCAGCCGCAGCAGCGCATGAAACGCACCGCGCGCCTTAAATGCGCCAATCCGCTGGAAATTCTCGCATTTGAAGAAGAAGTTTATCTTGGGGTTGGCGGGTGTTTGGCCCTCGAATGGCGTGCCGAGGAGCGCGGAGGGCGATTGGGGGGTCGAGGCGATGCGGTTGAGGGCTCTGCTGGTGAGGAGCGGGGTTTCATGGACGTAGGGCTTTATGAGGGCGTGGGCGGAGAGGACGTTGGAGGCGGTTAAAGGGTTCCAGTTGGCTGGGTCTGTCATTGCTGGGGGCGGTGTTGGGTTGGATGAGTGCCTGCTTTGGGAAGTGTGTGGTTGGTGGTTTGGTAGGACGTATGGAGTATACATAAGAGGCAAATATATCAACATCAAAGTCTGAAAAGCATGGAGAGATAAAATATGCACAACGTAACCTGGTGAGAGAAATACGAGGATTGCCAAATGTCACATTTGCACATCTACACCTGCTTATGGACGACTTACAGTTCAGAGCGGAAACTGGAAGGTTTGCATTCCAATAGCTGTGTATCTATGGTAGATCCAGGATAACAATAGCAGGGCGAGAATGAAAGTAGGCCTTCATTCTTCGAAACTCACCGGATGGCGAAAAACGGAATGGAATAGGGGAAGGTCACTGGAGATGAAATGAAAGGTGAGAAGAGTATTCAACTCGGCAGTCACATACATACAAATAATAGCATGATAATCCGAGGTGCGAGACGGGGAACATCTTATTTATGACAACAAAAAATGGGAAAACTTTTTCTCTAGGGCCGTCTGCTGTCCTCTCGTGCTTTTTCCCCCATTTTGCGTTTGCCCTGCTTTGCTTCAGCTCGCGCTCTCTCTTTTTTTTTCTTTCCCAAATTAACAAAGCAGAAATGTAGGTTAAAGACATAACTAGAAATACACCAAGTGCTGCTGCTAGACAAGACAAGAACTAAACACGGATACGCAATGTCGTCTATCCATCACAAATTATTACACAACAGTATCCCACTCATTTCTGGTTCTCAGGGCGGAGTGATCTAGAGTGTGTTAGTTCACCATAAAAGGACAGAAAGGAAAAGGAAAAGAAGAGAAAAGAGACACGAAACTCACCGCACAGCCTTCCCAGCCCTCCAAATCTCCAAATCCCGAATCTCCTGCATCTCCTTCTCGTACTTCTCCCGATAATCCGGCTGCGAGTTATACTCCAGACTCCTCTTCGTCTCCTTCCCATTCTTCACACTGTCATACAGCTCGTTGAACACCGGCTTCAACGTATCCTTGAACCTGCTGCTCCAATCAAGCGCGCCCCGGCGCGCCGTCGTCGAGCACGCAGCGTACATCCAGTCCATCCCGTTCGCCCCGATCAGTGGGTACAGGGACTGGGTGGCCTCCTCGACCGTCTCGTTGAAGGCTTCGCTGGGGCTGTGCCCGCGTTCGCGCAGCACTTCGTACTGGGCGAGAAACATGCCGTGGATGCCCCCCATCAGGCACCCGCGCTCGCCGTACAGGTCCGAGTAGACTTCCTTCTCAAAGGTGGTTTTGTACAGGTAGCCGCTGCCGATGGCGATGCCGAGGGCGATGGCTTTTTCTTCGGCTTTGCCGGTTACGTCTTGGGTAGACGGCTATGGAGGAGTTGATGCCGCTGCCTTCGCGGAAGAGGGTGCGGACGGTGCGGCCGGAGCCTTTGGGGGCGACGAGGATTACGTCGACGTCGGGGGGGACGTCAACCTTCGTGAGGTCTTTGAAGACGGGGGAGAAGCCGTGGGAGAAGTAGAGGGTCTGTTTT